TTTTTCAATGATGAGATCCAATTTCCTCAGCACTTTCAATTATTCGCGCTGATTTGAGTAAGAAAACATCAGCGTCCAGGGTTCAATTTCCATGCGTTCATAGGTGAAGGTTCTACCATTTTCTCACTCCATTAGTGAAGGTGACTAAGGCCGCAACCTTAGTATTCAACTTATGTAGGTATGTCTTGTGTTGAAGCAAATCCCTTCTATGTTATATGCATAGGTTTATTGATATTATCTTTTTATAGACAAATTATGCTTTAAACTTTAGCTGTTCCCAGCTTTCGATTTAACTTGTCTGGTGAAGTTCCATAAATTCAGGTGCCACTCGTACTCCAGAATGCACAGAAGTACTTTATGCTCGTCAACGATTTGTTGCATGTTGCAAAGCTTTCCAATTGCAAGCAATTGATAGTGTCTACATTGACATCAAAAACACAGAAGGTTTAAGAAAACAAAGTGAAGAAGGTGCGGCTCCAGTATTTTAAGCGTAGAATTGTGCAAATATGCATATATAAAAGGTTTGCCGTGATTTCCAACCTTTGATTTATACGTGTTTTTCAGGCCAAAAATGGGGTTTCACTGGGAAACAAACGATTCATCCCTTACAGGTGTGTGTATGCGTTTTTTAAACTAACCTATGAAAGAGTGCACATACTGTCATAAGGAGAGCTGGCAGTATTTGAGAAGACGATTTGATCAAGATTTTCTTAGGTTTAAAAACGGTAGAAGCTTTTAGAACTTGTTTTTTTTTACAGATTCCTGTTGTACAGAAAGCATTCATGCCATCTCCAGAAAAAGTCGAATGGGCAACTGAACTTGTACACGCGTTCAGTCAACATCAAGCTGAAGGCAAGGGCGCCTTCCAGTTTCGTGGTCAGATGATCGATCGACCATTACTACTTCAAGCTCTGAACATTATACAGCTAATCGAAAGCGTAGGAGGTTCTCCTAAAGAGTGATGATTAAGTATTACTTCATAGTAAATATGGGCTTAGACAAAGTGCCTATTGCCAATATTTAGCGAGTGGTAAAATAAGCAAATTGTAGTAAATCTCACTGGGATATTCACGACGCCAGAAATTAGCAACGTTTGCTGTGTAGTCAGGGATTCAAGAAGTACGAGATAAAATAACTAATGTACAAGTTTTTCTATGACTTTTCATTTTAAATGGTTTTGAAATAAAATTTGATATTTCGAACTATTCAGACCGTTGAACGTGACAGCCTCTTCAAAAAAATGTTTCACTTACTCTGCTCACGAACAGTGGTCCCTCTGTCTATAAGTGTAATCGTAAAGTACCATATAAGATTCATCCAGTGAAACTTTATCATTATAAAATCGATAGGATAGGCCAAGACTCAGAATGTAGCGTATTCCTATTACGCAATAATCCTAATCTTTGTCCGATCTAAACTTTTTATTTGTCACAGGAAAATTTGGACTCTGCTTGCAACCATTAGAAGGAAAAAAACAAGAAAAGGATAGTTTGCCACAATCAGTTGAGTAAATTACATTGGCAATTTAAAAAATTTATTACACTTATTGTACAAGTGGATAGACAGAATGAAAAAATACGCATCAGTCGTACCCGTAAGATAAACTGTCTCTTATTGAATAAAGCTATGGGCGTCTTGTATTAAAAGTAGAAACCTCATAAAACGCTCACGTTTCACACTATAACGTATTAAAAACTACGCAGCCATAACTGTTTGGAAAACGTGTCAGGGAGATACCATGTGCAGAGTTTAATATAAAAAGTTATCATCCACTTTTTTCCAACTAATAGCTAAGAAGTATCTACGATCTTCTGTGTATCCAGTCCTTCCTGGAATGCGGAATTCAACTTTAGAACTTCAACTCAACTTTCTCCACGTCAGCAATGATATCAATGATATAGAAAATAGGGATGGTTGCTCCACAAAGCTTTCTGCAAAGTAGCGATAAACTTCTCACTTCTGTGATTGCATTATCTAAATAATTAACACCACAAGATGAACAATTGACATTCACATTGACAGGTATCATGTGAGCCTCAAAATCAGTAAAGTGAAATGCGTTACTTTTTCTAAAATGGATTGTCAGGTATGATCAAACTTATCTAGATATTGTTAAAGCAACTAACTATCACTTTTACTTTTGGAAAATTAATTGGCTTCTCTGAAGGTTGTTCTCTTTTTTGATAAAGTTATAAGAAAATCCTGAGATGCAAAAGACTTCTTCCAATGACAGGTCATGAAAATTAAGCAAAATTGAAGGTAACTTACTTCCCGTCTTCTACACTTCTCTCTATACACACAATATTCTCTAGGAGTTGCGACGATTTACGCTTTAAATCCTTAGCGTTCGGAACTCCATGATGAATATACAGCCATGCATAGGTGTATTCCACCAATTGGAGAGCCTGTGATTGTTGTTTGAATTGTGATTCTTAAACGACTATCCACAGAGATGGAAGTTTGGGAAATACAATTTTCTTAAAAAGCTAAAGTAATATGAAATGCTACTGTGCCCAGGAAATAGCTCATTTATCCTCTAACCACCACTTGTACTACCTCAGAATAAGCTATGTGCTCCTAGAGAAATCTTGAAGCTTGTTCAGAAATTTTTTAGATTTCACCGGACTAAAAGATTCGCAGGAAAGTAGATCAAAGCATCACGCCAGGTGTAAATTGCACAGACTACATTCTGTTACCAGTCGAAGTTGCATGAGAAAAAACCTTCCAAATAACGTAAGAAGGAATGCTTTCAAAGAAGTATCATTGATTAAGAGGCTATAACATTTCCTTGAACTTCTTTAGAACTCTGAACTTGCTCATATGAATAGCATCACTCATTCTGGAAATATTTTTTGCTGTTTTGCTTCTTCCAATTTGGTACTAAAGACACGCCATCACTGGATAGATACATGGAGAGTTTACAATACAAACCCAATATTTTTAAACACTCACTGCTAGTCTTGCATGGGCAAACTTTTCACACCTTCGTCTTAGATTCGTGATCTTCATGATGATCTCTATGATATTGTCCCTTTTCTCCGCATTAGAACAGAGATCTCTTGCTTTGGCGCAAACCTAGAACTGCTATACTGCGCCTGTCAAAAAGACGGTACGAATGCACTTACACCAGCAAATTCTCTTTTTATGGACCTCACTGGTACTATAAATTCTGGCGTTGTTGGATGTCCCTGAAATTTTACATCATGTCTATGATTATTCGGTGAAATTGTTACACCAAAGTGATCACGTCCTATTATGCAGACGAGATAAGATAAACATCATCATAAAGCGGTAAAGGAGACGTATGCAACTGAGATATTAGAAGCAAGCATTACCGAAAACTTATTCAACAGCAAGATCATTTCTTTTTAGTCAAACTCCAAAAAGCAAAGTATAACGGTTCACTTATATCAATATATTATATCAATCAGTGTATTCATTTGTGATCCTATAATGTTCCGAACGAATGACTTTGACATAGAAAAAAACCGAATCTGCTAAACGCAATCAGTAACTTCTGACTTCATAAGGCTTTCTTTTGTTGCTGTTTGCCTCGTTGTATTACTGTTTATGTTATACATGAAGTAATTTGTTGCTTTTTAATGAATTTCAGTCAATTCTAGCCAAATTTTCATTCAAGAACAAGTTTTGGCAGCAACTAACCCATTTAATCATTCTTCCATCCTTCTCAATGAAACGCTTCCTGACTGATTTCGTACCACCACCATCACTTTTATTTCTCATCAAACCATTCTAATC